TGAAATAATATATGGTGGATAATAAACAAGCGGCAGATAAGTAGCACTGTAGGGGGCCAAAGGAAGGGACTTACTTAATTGTGTCTGAGTGACCTGAAACTGCCCTGAGGCAGAGGGGTGGGGGGAAGTTTGATTTTCCTTTGTCTTCACAGCAAAAGTGGTTTGTTTGTTGAAGTGCTTGCAACACATTGTCTCTTTTCAATATAGGTACCTCATCTTCTTGGACATACTGGTTTCTCAGAACATCAGTTACACTTAGAAAAGAGAGAAGCTTTGACCTGTGTGTGTCTGTGTGTGAATGTGAAAGGTCAGACATTGGTCACACTTCAGGTCCAGAGAAGTGTGAAAAGAAGAGAAGGATACGGAAATGGTCCAATAAATAAGTCTCGATTGTTAAACCTGACTCCAGGAAAAGGTCTGAAGTGAGTGAGAGAGCAATTACTGACCTTTATGTTTATTACCTACAAGAGAGGCACAAAGGAACACTAATAGTACATGTTTATGCCTGTATGGAATTACACACAATTTGGAGTGGTTGATTGGTGCATATGTTGGCAGATTCAGTGACGTTGGATGAGGGACAGCTGGGGTAGATGAGTCCCAGTGGGCCTCCACAACCTGGGCAGTGCCTCCAGTGTGGCCGATTGATCATACCATTCCAAGGATTTGTCTGCAGTTGTCAGGACAGGTGGCTAATAGCTCTGCCAGGATTTGGGTCCAACAGGCCACACCTGTTTCATGTGGGTGTCTGATGACAGAGGGCCAGGTCTGTGTGTGCTTTCTTGGTTCTGGGTTCAGTCTCCTCTCCCTGCAGGCCCCAGTCCAAGCTTGCATCTGGGGACTAAATCTTCTTCATCTATTTACTCTGGAAGACAAAAGCTGGATGGCCAACCTGTGCCAGAACAGGTCTGATGGGCCCTGGAGGGGAGTGGGGAGTGGAAATTGTAAGGAAATGGCCCAGTAGTGAGGTCAGTAATTCATAGTTGCTAAATGCTAGCCCCGCCCTTTAAACAGATACTGATCATGGAAAAACAGTTGAACTCTCTTGTTGATCTCCTCTCCCATGGCTGTTAAACTGCTTGAAATTCCAGGCCTTACAGTACTTCTCAGACTTTAGACTGTATCAGAATCCCCAAGGGAACGGGTTCAAAGTGCAAAATTCCTGAAATTCTGATCCCACAAAGCCCCTCATGCACCTGGGAATCTGTATTTTAATACCCCAGACAAACTTGTTCTTTCCAGTTTTCATAATTTTTTGAATTTTTACTATCAGTAAGAAATATACTTTATGCTGTAATCCTAGGTTATCTGAAACAAGTTTTATAAAACTATATTGGCCTCCATTAAGGTGCACACTGCAATGTTCTATTATTTTTGAATTCCTTAAAAAAAAACTAGTCAAACTCACTTAATTTTAGATTCATGACTTTATCAGTAAGTATCAACCAGTAGTTTCCAAAACTAAGTTTTATAAAGAGCCTTTGTGGCGTTCTCCCCAGGAATCTTTCTTGTTTTCAGTCATTCATCAAATATTGAGTACCATCCTAAAGAGTGGGAATATGGCAATGAAGCAAAGTCTCAGTCCTCAGAGCTTTACATACTGTATTCTGTCCCAATATTCCTTGTTCCTTTATGGCTCCTCCCACCTCGGTTCAGCTGGTCTGGGCTGGAGAGTTTCATTTGGGGAACTTTGTTGTTCTGTTGCCGTGTTATGCTTTTTTTGTGTGTGTGTCTTTTTTCAGTTTTCTTTGCCTTGCCTAAACCACCAAGAACTAGCGTAGTATAGTTCTTTCTCTTGGTGACTTATGGGAAGAGGACGGGAAAATCATCCTGGATGGCAGCATCTGTAGTTTTCCCGAAAGGAAGAACGGCTCTCTTTTCTTAAAACAAAGCAGTGAAAACAGACATGAGATGAGAATCCCCCCTCCCTTAAAAATACCGGTGTGAGCCCCAGCACCTGTTTATCCCCCAAGTGTAACCAGTTAAGTTACACTTAACTGGAGAACAGTTTTAAAAGTTGTAGTTTTCACATTTACTCTGGCTGCTGCTACTTGTATCTACATGTAGGTGGCGCTTTGAGGAAGAAATCTGTGAATGAAGAGTTAGCCTCTGCTGAGAACATCTGATGCTTAGAAAGCTCTTCAAAGATTTAAAAATATACAAGTCAATGGCATCGATCACATTTACAGTGTTGTCTGAGCATCCCCACTTTTTTTTGATTCGCAAAATTCTTTCATCACTCTGCATAGAAACTCTGTGTCTATTAAACCCTAATTCCTCAATTTCTACTCCCACTTGCCCTTGGCTAACAGTGTACATATGCATTGTAGATATTGTATGCAAGTGGGATCATGCAGTATTAGTCTGTTTGGGTCTGACTTTTTACTCAGCATCATGTTTCTTGGTTTATCCAATGGAATATGGCAGACTGGATAAAACCTTTTGTTTTATCCATTCATTTGTTGATGAAGTCTTGGGTTGTTTCCACCTTTTGGCTACTGGGAATAATGAACATTGTTACAGACTTATCTGTTTGAGTCCCTGCTTTCAATTATTTTGGGTTTATACCTAGGAATGGAGTTCTGGTGTGGCACTGTGGGTTAATGCACTGGATTGCAAAGTCTGTGTGAACCGCAAGGTCAGCGGTTCAGTCTCACCAGCTAAGTGGAATTGGTGGGTCATATATGGTAATTCGAAGGAGCTCTGGTAGCGAGTTGGGCTGCTAGCCTCAAGGTCAGTAGTTCAAAACTACCAACTGTTCTGTGGGAGAAAGATGAGGCTTTGGCTCCTATAAAGATTTGGAGCCTCAGAAACCCTATGCAAGGTCGCTATGATGTTCTTTATGTCATCCCACAGCTCTTCTGGTTTTCAGTCTTTAACGTCAAAAAAAGAGACATGCTGTTCTTTGCACCTAAAACACTCACCCCCTCACTTTGTTCAAGCCTTTGCTTGACGATTCCCTCTCAGAAAGACCTGGCCTGACCACTGTGTCCAAAATTTTAACCCCCACGTTTTCCCACACTCCCCATTTTCCCTCTTACCCTGCTTAATTTTTCTATATTTAGAACAATAAATCCACTGCCATTGGGTCAATTCCAGCTCACTGTGACCATCAGGCAGTAGAACTGCCCCCAAAGGTTTCGGAGGCTGCAAGTCTTCTCAGGAGCACACAGCCGCACTGAAACGGCTGACCTTGCAGTTGGTAAGCACATTATAGTACCAGGGCTTTGTATTTTCTGCATGTTGTTGTTAAGTGTTGTTGAGTTGGTTCTGACTCATAGCAACCCTCTATAGAGTTTGCTAAGAGTGGCTGGTGGGTTTGAACTGCCTGACCTTATGGTGAACAGTCCAATGCTTATCCTACAATGCCACGCCAGGACTCCTGGTGCATAACACATATTAATTTGAATCACGTAATGTACTTATTTTACGTATAATTGTCTGTTTCCCTTAGTACATTTCAGTTCTGTGAATGTGAGGGGTTCTGTACTAGTCTACTGTTCTTTCTCCAGCATCTAAAATGATAACCTGGCACCACAGTTGATGTTCAATGAGCTATCTCTTGCATTAATAAGTGAGAGTGTCCTTTTAGTATTACCTTTAATAGACAAATCAACTTCGGTATCCTTTCTAGAAGTCTGAAAGAAGAGGGAGGAAGGTCCATTTGACTTTTAAATGAAGCTGCTCCTTAATAAAGCTGCCACTGAACTCACTAGGATCAAAGACACCATGGATAGCATTGTAGACATGATGGGTGAGACTTGAGAGAGGTTTGGGTACTTGCTTGGTTACTTAGCTAATATGTTCTTGCTATTAGTTATTATTCGTTGTCAAAGACTTCATTTTGATTAGTTCCACCATCAACACTCATGGAAGCAGCAGTCAAGAAATCACAAGACATATTGCATAAGGTAAATTGCTGCATAAGACCTCTTTTAAAGTGATACCAGTTTGAGGACCAAGATGTGCCTGATCTAAGCCATGGTATTTTCCATAGCTTCCTATGCATGTGAAAGGTGTACACTGACTAAGGAAGAGTGTAAAAATATTGATGCTTTTGAGTTATGGTGTTGGAGAAGAATATTAAAAATACCATGGACTGCTAGAAGAACAAACAAATCTGTGTTGGAAGAAGTATAGCTAGAATGTTCCTTAGAAGCCAGGATGGTGAGACTTCGTCTCTCATACTTCAGGTATAGTATCAGGAGGGATCAGTCCCTGGAGAAGCACATCATGCTTGGTAAAGTGGAGGGTCCTAGAAAAAGAGGAAGACCCCCAAATGAGATGATTGGCACAGTGATATCAGCAATGGGCTCAAACTTAACAGTGATTGTAAGGATGGCACAGAACAGTACAGAGTTTTATTCTGTTGTGTGTAAGGTTCTTGTGAGTGGGAACCAACTAGACAGCCCCTAACAGCAATAACAACAGTTAGTTGTCCTCCAGCTGGCTTCCAACTCATTGCAGTGGATCAAAATGCTGCCCAGTCTGGCACCATCCTCATGATTGGTTGTAGATTAGACTTTTGTGATCCATTGGGTTCTCAGTGACTAATTTTTGGGTGTACATCACCAGGCCTTTCTTCCTCTTCTGCTGATCTGAAATCTCTACTGACAGGGCAGATGGTGGGTATACATTAGGTACATTGGCAAGGAATTGAACCTGAGTCTCCTGCATGGAGGGCCAGAATTCTACCACTTAATCAACACTGGTCAATATGGTCTTTTAATGGTCTTTGTCTAAGACTGGCCACTGGAGCTAAAGAAAAGAATGAAATGAACAATAGTCTTACTTCACTCTCATTTGTGAGGAAGCAGTAGACCCTTGTGGGTCTATTGGGGAAGAAAAGAATACAAAATTGTGACTACGAGTAATTCAATTTGTGTTAAATCCCCTTTTATGCTACATGTAATGTATCCTTTAAGTGCCCCCAAATATACAACAGATTTGATAAGGTGGCAGGATGGTGTTAAGAAAACATTTTTCTTCCCTCCTCAAAGGTGTTCCCTGGAACACCCTCCCAGATGAGCTGCTCTTGGGGATCTTCTCCCGCTTGTGTCTCCCCGAACTCCTGCAAGTCTCCTGTGTTTGCAAGAGGTGGAATCGCCTAGCGTGAGTACACTTCACCCTTGTCAGCATGTGTGGAATAGAGAAGGGCTATTCATTTGCCACTGTGGTTCTGATACGTGTGGTGGTGCATTAACCCACAGCGCCACACCAGGACTCATTCATAATAATAGCAGAATTTTAAAAAGTTCATGGAAAAAATGTAATTAGGACATAATGTAATTTTTTTTATGAACTTTTCGAAGCCCCTGTGTATATATATAAAATCTTTAGGGTGCGCGGTGACTCTGTAGGATAAACACTGGACTGCAAACCCAAAGTCAGTGGTTCGAGTCTACCAGCCACTTCATGGGAGAAAGATGAATCTGTCTGCCTCTACAAAGGTACAGGGTCACTATGAGCAGAACCGACTTGAAGGCACTTCACAACAACATTTATAACTTTTAAGCGTAACGGCTGTTTTCATGTATAATGTGAAATACTGAAAACAGAACTATACTCTGGCAATTTTTTTGCTACCATGTGTCTATGACAGCTAGAATAATGGTTTCCTTCCTTAGATTATATTGACATTATAGTCATTGTGGTAACTTGTCCCTTCTTAACAACAAAATGCCAAGTGGTATCATTGAGGCTGGTTCAAACACACTCACCTAGTAACAATATATTAAGCAATTTGCCAATCACTTGTACATTTGTCAAGTGGAATTGAATGCAAGGATTTAATTCTCTGGTCTCAGGTCACTGTATTGCATGTAGCGCTGCACCTTCTCAGTGGGAAATATGTATAAAGCGAAATATGGTATAGTATAGTCTAGCCATACTATGCTCAAGAAGTAGCCAATGAACGGTGCCTTAAGAGTAGCGCAACTAATGGTTTGGTGGTTATGTTATGGTGGTGGTAGTTGTATGCTGTGGGGTCAATTTCAACTCAGAGTGACCCTCTATGGGGTTTCCAAGGCTGTAAATCTTTACTAGAGCAGTAAGCCTCATCCTTCTCCCATGGAGCTGCTGGTAGATTCAAGTTGCCCAGCTTGCGGCTAGCAGCCCAACTCATAACCCACTACGCTACCAGTGCTCCTTAACTAAGTATATCGTCAACACAGAAATTTAGAATTTACTTCAAGGGGATTTAGCAACTATGTCCTCATTGTTAGTACCGCTGTTGAGGACTTCCTGGAATCCACGTTGGCAAGTTACCAAACCAAGTATCTCCTCTTTTCCAGAATTGATGAGTTTCTGTGGCAGACCATAGACCTCACAGGTAAAAGTCTGCAACCTGGTGTGATTAAGCGGTTGCTGTCTCGAGGGGTGATTGCCTTCCGCTGCCCACGGGCATTTGTGAGCCAAGAACCATTAGTTGAACATTTCAGGTAAAAAAAAAAGTAAAAAATCTCCAGAAAAAACTGTTTCTAAATCTTGAGGTGGAAAAGCAGCTGATGGTTTCTCTCTTTACATTTCTGACCTTACAACCTCTGACAGATCATCTGTACAATGTGGGATGTCAGTTGCCTGTCTGGCTGTATGGCCTTTCTGTTGAAACATACACAGGTTTCAAAGACACCGTTTTCATTTTAACTCAGGGTTACTGGTCCCCAGGATCAAAGGTGTGCATATTTACCTTCCTAAGTTGGGTCCTTAATAGAGGAGGTGCAAGAAGAGCTTTCACGGGCAGACGTAAGGCTGCCTCTTTCCCCCACTGTCCTTTTCTGGTAAATAAAAAGAAAGCATATGGGACTTATGCTGATTCTGTGGCTTTGGGTTTCTGACCCTATTATGGATAAATGTGCAACCTGAAAAAAAATACCTTATTTTTGTTTGCTTTGTAGAGTATTTTTTACAATATCCTAAATAACCTATACGAGGGGGCTTCAAAAAGTTCCTGGGGGAAATTCCATTATCTTATCATTAAATTTTTTTGCAAACTTATTTCTAGATGACTGATAGTTTTTACAGCATGTTTAGTAGTATCTCATACTTGAGTACAGTAACTGGAAACGAAACAGACAAGCTAAAAACAACAGTGCTAAGAACTGAGCATATGTGTTCTGACGCCGGTATTTTCCCTTCTTTCCTTAGTCAGATGGTGGCATACCTCTCCCACTTGGTTTTTATCCTACTCCTGTGGCTGCACCTTCTCCGTCTCCTTCACACGTGTGCTTTCCTTTGTTCACTCCAAGGTCTGTCCCTGGCTGCCTTCTCTTTGTGATCCACATACTGTCACCCACATGAATGTCCGCCACCCTAAAACAAAACAAAACCCATCATCTCCAAGTTGGTTCCAACTCATAAAAACCTCTTAGGACAGAAGAACTGCCATATAGACGGTAAATCTTTGCAGAAGCTGACTTGCCACATCTTTTCTCCCTTGAAGTGGCTGGTGGATTTGAACCATTGACCTTGTTGTTAGTGGTTGAGCACTTAACCACTGTGCCACCAGGGCTCCTAACATGAATGCCCAGGGCTTTCAAATGCTCATCTCTAGTTCAGTAGCCTCTTTCAAACCAAGTCCTGTTTCTAATTGCCTAAACACTTCAGTACCTAAATTTACTCTGAGTACCTCAGTATTGCAGGAGAAAGGTGAGGCTTTCGGCTCCTGCAAAGATTTAAAGACTCGGAAACCCTATACAGGGTCACTCTGAGTCAGAACCAACTCAAGGGCACTTAACAACAACAGCCTCAATGTTAAACAAACAAACAAAAAACCAGTTATCATTAACTCATGGCAACTCCGTGTGTGTCACAGTAGAACTAATGTGGCGTCGAGTTTTCAAAGGCTCATTATTTAGAAGTGGATCTCCGAGCCTCTGGGTGGACTTAAACCTACAACTTTTCAGTTAACATCCAAGAGCGATTACTGTTTGTACTCCCAGGATGTCTTTATTAACCTATCTGAAATGACACCCTGCCTCTCCTTGAAATGTTCTCTTCCACTATTCCCCCATTTTAGTTAATGCTGCTGGCATGATAGGAGACCTAGTGTGGCGCTGTAGGATAAGTGCTAGACTGCAAGGTCGGTTTGAGCCTCCAGGTCGGCGGTTCGAACTCACTAGTTGCTCCTCGGAAACCCTATACAAGGTGGCATGAGTCAGAACTGACTCAATGGCACTTAACAGCAACAACATTGCCATGATGAACATTGAGCTGCTAACGTCAAGATCAGACATTTAAACTCACCAGCTGCTCTCCAGAAGCAAGATGAGGCTGTCTGCGCCCATAAAGATTTATAGTCTAGGAAATTCACTAGGATCATTATGAGTCGGAATCAGCCCGATGGCAGTGGGTTTTGTTTTGGGGGGGGGGCCTTCCATTCACATACTCACTCTCGCCAGAAACCTGGAGTCTGCATAGGCTTGTTCTCTTCATCCAGTTCATTGGACCCCACTCCTTGTTTTCTAAATGGGATTGTATTGGTGACAACATCTGTCTTCAGCTCAAATCTCCCTGAATTGTGAAATGAATGAGGATGGGAATTAGTAGGAGTTGGCTTTGTGACCTGAACTGTAGTACGTGGAATATGTAATTCAGGCCTCGCTGCTGGCCGGTCGGTTGGGGATAAGGAGGGAGTGGTTGTGACTGGGATGGATTTCTGTGAGCTGCACTTATGAAGTCGCTTTGTGTTCTGTATCCAGTGTTTTTCGTGTCCAGCACCTGGACCTCTCGAACTGTATAATAGATGTTCCTGCCCTTGAAGGCATCCTGTCTCAGTGCTTGAAGCTGCAGAATCTAAGTCTGGAAGGCCTAGAGCTTTCGGATCCCATTGTCAAGTAAGTGTATGTCCCAAAGGGAGACTGTTTCTGGATCTATCCCATTTTGTTTCCTGAGTATAACGGGTGCCCTTCCATTCCTATCCAGATATCCACAGAAAATACCCAGTGTTCCATCTTCTGCAAAACTTCCAGGAATCACCTAGGCAATGACATTTTGAATGCTAACTGTAGGTCAACCCCTTTGCTTGGCTCTAGAGATGGAGGTTGGGCCAGGCATGGTCCCTGTCTCCTTTATGGGAGCGACAGATAGTTGCAGTGTAGTGTGTCTGTTAAATGCATCAGTGAATAAGTGGGGGCTTCAAAAGTTCTTGAAAAAACAAATGGAATTTTTTCTGTGAATTTAGAAGCCACCTTGTATGTGGCAACACTAAGGAAGCACTAACAAAGTTTAGGAGTCCTAGTTGGTGCTGTGGGTTGATATGCTGGACTGCAAAGTTGGTTTGAACCTCAGGATCAGTGGTTCAAGCTCACTAGCTGCTCCTCAGAAGCCCTATGCAGGGTCCATATGAGTCGGAACCAACTCAACAGCACTTAACAACAACAAAGTTAAGGGAGGGCAGTCTTTTTGGAGGAAGTGACTCTTTTTTAACAAAATCTGTTTGCTCAGCTTTTACAGCTCTGCCCACATAGTTGTTAGACGTAATAATAATGTAAGTAATGAAAGGTAGCATTTATAAAGATTACTTTATTTTTTGGGAAACTTTATTGTGATAGAGTGAAGGTTTACAGAACAGATGGTCAGTTTTACATTCAACTAGTCACGCACTTTGTTTCATCTCAGGGATTGCAATTCCTTCCAATCCCCTCCATGCAATAATAGTTCTCCCTTAACACTTAGGCTGAGTATTAAATATCAATGAGATTGAAAAGGTAGGGAGATCTCCAGGCAGGTGAAGAGCAAAGGAACCAAAGTGTGGTTCTGAACTCAGGGAGTTGGGAATTGTTGGTGCTTGGGGTTCTGCAAGAGGAGTGTCAGGAAGTGAGTTTACTCAGAGACCAAATCATAATAGGCTTGTCGTGCTACAAGAAGCTGGCCTCTTTGTGGTAGGCTACAATGATGGAAGGGTGGTAATGAGAATGATTCTGCAAATGCAAGGGGCATGTCAGAAGGGAAATTTAGAAAATGAACTGTCTCGGATCAATCAGACATGGAAGAAACTAGACCAGGTATGAAGCTGAGGTGTCCAACCAGATGATAAATGATGATACCTGATGTAAAAGTTCACATAAAAGAAAAAAACTAGCAGTTAGCGTTTATTGAGTGCTTACTATGTGCCAAATACTAAGTCTTTAGAATGTGTCATCTCACCTAATGCTCACAGTAACCCATGAAGGACTAGAGGGCTTCAAAAAGTTCATGGGAAAATTCCATTACCTTTTCATTCCATTTT